TCAAAACAAAAATCATGTGATATCTGCTGTGAATGTCGTGAATTACCACGAAGAGATGATGGTCACCTGTAATGAAATCAAAGTAGCCATTAATAAATTGAAAAAGGGAAAATGTATTGGAAAAGACAGACTGTGCTCGGAACATATCATATTTGCGGATCAAATACTGTGTGTTCTACTAGCCTTGTGCTTTACTGCATTCTTTGTTCATGGACACCTGCCAGACTATTTTATGGATACAATGATTGTCCCAATTGTTAAAGATAAGACTAAAGATATCACAAGAGTGAATAACTATAGACCTGTTGCTATAGTAACCGTTTTATCGAAATTATTTGAGTTGTGCATCTTAAATCGAATTGAAAAATTTATCGAGACTAGTGATTTTCAGTTTGGGTTTAAACGCAAGCATTCAACAGAAATGTGTATCTTCGTAGTGAAGGAAATTGTCGACTTCTATAAAAGTCACAACTCGCCCGTTTTTGCTTGTTTTATGGACGCAACAAAAGCGTTTGACAGGGTAAACCATTGGAAGTTATTCAAAAAATTACTTGATAGGGGAATGCCTGTATTCATTGTGCGTTGTCTATTGCATTGGTATCGAGGTCAAACTTTTTGTATCCGATGGGCTTCAGAAATATCTGCGTCCTTTAGAGTGACCAATGGAGTTCGACAAGGAAGCATTCTTTCGCCGACGTTATTTTCAATTTATATTGATGATCTCAGTACTAGGCTGCAACAAGCGGGTGTTGGATGTCATCTTTTTTATGCTGATGATATTTTGTTAGTTTTACCTTCTGTCAAATCATTGGAAAAGCTCGTTGAGATCTGCGAGTGTTATGGTGAGGAGTTTGACATTCTTTTCCACACTACTAAGACAGAATGCATGTCATTTTTTCCAAAAACGTGGGGACAGACAAGTGTCCCAAGCATGTACTTGTATGGTAAACCTCTGGTTTTCGTCTCAGTGAAAAAGTACCTGGGTTATATGGTGTCATCAGATGGCAAGGATGAAGCTGATATGAAGCGACAATTGCGGTGTATTTATGCTAGGGCAAATTTTATTTTACGAAAATTTATAAAAAGTTCAGAGTACGTTAAGTGTTTGTTATTTAGAACGTATTTGTACAGTATATATTGTTTGAATGTTTGGTGTGATTATCGTACACAAATTGTGAATACTGTGCGAGCGGCTTATAATAACGCTATAAGATTGGTCTTTAGCCTTAAAC